GATACATGCCACGGGAATTTACCTCATCAGCTTAGTCGATGAAACCCAATTAAAAACAGTCTCTTTGAAATGTATGAAAGCGATCCTCGCAGTAATGAATCCTACTTATGTAGTAATGGAAATATGACCTGAAAAAAATTCAGGCATGTACAGGATTTGAACCCATGACCTTTGTCTGGTGACAATTCTTGAAATCATCGTTAACGTTTTTTTCCTCTTTCTCTTTGTTGTAGTCTCGAGACGTAGACAGGAAAAATCCCAAAGCAGTGAAAAAAGCAAATATGTATTATTTCATTGCATCAGGTAAAAAATTCACCTAATTCGATGGTTTATATTATTGATTTCTATTTTCAACCACGGAATAAGGGACATCAATATTCCACCATCATTTCATTTTTTTAGTCATGGAATACATCTTACGGCATTGTCTGAGAATCATATCGATCTCACAAGGCATGCACGAAAGATGAATACCATGTCAGTATCCTTAGTAACAGCTGTCATATCAACCAATCACACGCAAGACTAAAAACAATCGTGACTTTTGTAGCCGCGTTTTCCTGCGCTTTTAACAGTTTTAACACTAGTTCTCTTTCGTTGATTATGGTTTTAGCCTTTGCACTGGGTTTGCTTTTTCGAAAAGGTCTCTAGTTTTGCTTATGATAAGTTTCTAAGGTGATAGAAGTGTTCCACACCAACGAGATCACCGCAGGACCAAAAAACCTCTCAATCAATCAAATTGCCTTAGTTTTGGTTTTTGAGGCTGTATATATATACAAGCTCACAATTCCTGTCATCTTTCGTGCATGCTTTGTGAGATCGATATGATTCCAGTCAAACAATTCCAGTCCTGGATTAGTTTCAACACTGTTTCAGTCCGACTATGTTTGTGGGAGCTGCGGGAGTTGCTTGTTTACAGTAATACACTTGTCATCATATGTAACCTTCTCCTCTTTTCTTTTTTCCTTCCAGCCATTGCATTGTTCGTGTCATTAATCATCAACATATTCGTGGTCGTAGTATTTGTTAGAGTAAGCCTATTTGTTTTTACCAGTGGTTGGTCCAGAAATTGATGAAAAACATTACCAAGTATTCCTCGTTTTACGTCCCAACGGAATTGCGCAAGAAGGGCTCAAACAATTTAGGCAATTGCACAAGCAAAAGGAAAGCAAAACACTAGAAGAAAGGAAAAGAGGCAGGTCATCTTGTGGATCGAAGGTCTCATTCTCATTTTTTCTTTTTTTCATTTGTAGGCATTTTATAAAAGGACGTATGGAGAAGTGGTAAGTCAGATTTTTTTAGCACATTCACAGGTCAACCCCACACACCCCAGCATCAGTACTCATATTCTCCATACTGTTCTCTATACATTTTCTAAGATGCTGACAAGGAGAGCTTGTTTAACAATCAGGAGCCTCTTTAGTTGATGATCATGTCCATTATTCTTGTAACCTTAATGTGTGATGTGAACATGTTGAATGATAGGAGGTAACGTTCACTTGTGGATTCTGAACCCCTTTGAGAAATAATGTGACATAAGAATGTGCCTAGAGGAAATTAACAATGCTTATATGTGGAATAATTTGAAGAACACTTGCCTTTAGAAATGGAGCCAACCCTTTTAGAATATCCCCAGTTTGGTTGTTGGTGCCCCTGATAAAAATAAATAAATAATAAATTTTTGGTGGTTAATATAAAAATCATAATTGAGATTTCCAACAAAGGATCGATCAAAGGTTCTTACAACAACACTCTTAATGAAACTTGCGTCGTAAGAGATTATTAAGCATTTATTTATTATCTGAGGTAAAATAATAACCAATAACTTTTAATAATAGTTTAGATGAGCAGACACGGTAAATAATGTTCTCCTATAAATTGTTTAACTTAACACAAATTTGATAACATCATATGTTCAGATATTATTTTAAGAAGAAAGCATTGACTGATTTAATGACAAATAATTTAAAAGTGATTATTACTCAGAGAGTGACCTTTCCTGAATTGTTGCAGACCTGAATGGCCACAACATTAAAGACAGAACCTAAAAAATTAAGAGTAAGTTAAAATATCATAATTAAATGGTAAACTTGTACTTGTGTCCAATGGACAGTAAGGACAGTAAACTGCTGCAGTGATTCTGTATTACTTAGTAAAAAGACAACCAAAATAAAACAATCCACCATTATAATTATTTAATGATTATCTGGAGGCTGATGCTTGCCGTTCCTCAAGCATACTGGTTAGTTTTCGCTGTAACACCTCCTCTGAAGTTGTTCGTTTAGCTGGTGGATGACTGCCCTGATCATCTTGTAAAAGAGCTCTCTTGCGACTTGTCTCTCCTGTACCTTGCTTCAGCATGTGATTGATATCTCGTAGTTTCTGCAA